GTTTTTCACAAATAACGAAATCATGAATATGCACACGCCTCAGTGATGTCACCCTGCTGGAATTATTCTCCTTTTTTTAATCCTATTGCCATTATTATTATTATTAAACTTTAAAAACTCCAAACTGTGAATTCTGTTCCTCGCACTTTCAGACCCAAACTCCCTTACTTTGAACCCAAACTCACTTTTTCACCCCAAAATCTTCCCCCTGCCTCCCTGGGTTGCCTCTTTAAGGTCAGAATCCCTTTTTTGTTTAATCCAGATTCTACTTTCTAGGTCCAAACTGCTCCATTTTAGTGCTCAAACCCCAAACTATGGCCCAAATTCTCCATTTTTGGACCCAAACTCCCCCTTTTGGGGTCCAGACTTCCCATCTAGGCACCCAAATTCCCCTTTTTGGGGCACAAATTCCCGATTATTTTGGTCCAAATTCTCCCTTTTTGAAACCAAATCTCCCTTTTTCGGTCCAAATTTCCCCCTTTTCTTGCTCAAATCCCCTTTTTTGGGCCCAAATTCTCTCTTTTTGGACCCAAATGCGCCTTTTTGAGCCCAAACTTTCCCTTCCTGGACACAAACTCCTCCTTTTTGGGCCCAAATTCCCCTTTTTAGACCCAAATTCCATATATTTTTTTTTTTACCCAAACTCCCGTTTTCAGCCCAAAATCTCCTTTTTTGGCCCCAAATTTCCCCCCTCGGATCTGCTGGGTTGAGCTGTACTTCCCGCTCTCTTTCGGGACTACATTTCCCATCGTCCCTCTCGCCGATTTCCGGTGTAAACCCCGCCTCTTCCCTTTTTCTCCTGAGGTGACTTCCGGCCGGGTGCCGCGCTGGCGCCGCCATGTTCCTGCAGTGCTACGAGAACGAGCGCGGGGAGCGCGTCTACACCCTGCGGGTACCGGGCGCTTTTGGGGCGCTTTTGGGGGATTTAGGGGAGCACTCGGAGGGGACCCGCGGTGTTTGGGTGTCCGCGGTGCGGGCTGGGAGCGATGCGGGTCGGTTTGGCTGTGCTGAGGGGGGAATTTGGACTCTCCCTGACGCTCTGTCCCCACAGAAGGTGTCCCCGGACGGGGTCCCCACACGCTCGGCGCACCCCGCCCGCTTCTCCCCCGATGATAAATTCTCCCGGCACCGCCTGGCCCTGAAGCGGCGCTTCGGGGTTTTGCCAACGCAGCGAGGCCGGACGCTGCTCTGAGGCACCCCAGAAATCACCTGCGGAGCCCTGAGATGGCCCCGAGCTCCTGGGAGGGATCCCCGCCATGAGAGAAGGTCAAGTCACAGTGCCAGCAGACTGCACGGAAATGGGGGGAAAGGAACGTTTTAAAGAGGAGGAAAAATGAAATATTAAAAGTCGAGGGTCTCTGAGTTTTGGTGACCAAATAACTTGGGGTTTTCTTCCTGTTTTGGGGGTATTTTTGTGGTTTTTTGGGTCTGGGGAGGGAATTTAGGGGGGCATTGGGGGAAGAGCTAACGGGACTCTAAGGGGCGCGGGGGATGATGGGAGTTGTAGGCGCGGGTATAACGGGGCTCTATGGGGCGCGGGGGATGATGGGAGTTGTAGGCGCGGGTATAACGGTGCTCTATGGGGCGCGGGGGATGATGGGAGATGGAGTCGCGGGTATAACGGTGCTCTATGGGGCGCGGGGGATGATGGGAGATGGAGTCGCGGGTATAACGGGCTCTATGGGGCGCGGGGGATGATGGGAGTTGTAGGCGCGGGTATAACGGGGCTCTAGGGGGCGCGGGGGATGATGGGAGATGGAGTCGCTGCTTTAATGGGGCTTAGTGAGGCCGCGGGACATCACGGGAAATGGAGGCATGGCAGTAAATGCGCGCAATGGGCGCCGCGGGGCATGATGGGAGCTATAGTCCCGGAAGTATCTGTAACGGAGCGGTTGGGCGTCCTGGAGGGCACTTGTGGGTCTACAGGGGCACCTGGGGGGATTCTGTGGGGTCGGGAAGCCCCTGGGGGCACCTGGAGAGCTCTGAGGGGTCTCCGTGGGGCTCAGGACGTGACGGGAATTGTCGGGCCGGACTCGGCTCTGAGGGGGGCTCTGTGGCCGCGGGGCATGACGGGAGCTGGAGTCCTAGCTTTAATGGCGCTCCGTGCGTGCCGCGGTGCATGGTGGGAACTGTAGTTCCTTAGGTGGCGCTCGAAGGCCTCCGTGTGGTTTGGGGCATCTGGGGGTTCGAGGAGGCGTTCAGGAGCCCGAATGGGCTCGGGGGGGCTCTCGGGGGTCCCGCAGGGTCTGGGGGGGGCTCCTGTGGGGCGCGTGGGGGCGGATAAGGGGAGTGCTGTGGAGCGCGGGGCCTGACGGGACTTGTAGTCCTGGCTCGGTTAGGCCGCCATGGAGCCGCTGTGCATGACGGGGCTTGTAGGCTCAAAGTCGCTAAAATGGCGCCGACACCAGGCCCCGCCTCCAGGTGCTGTTCCCGGGTGCTGATTGGTTGCAGACGGTGATGGGCGAGAGCCTCAGCCAATGGGAGGCGGCGGAGGCGGGACCAGCCCATTCAACCCCTCCAGTCTCTCCCAGTAAAGCCCAGTTCATCCCAGTCCAGGCTAGTTCCTCCCAGTACAGCCCCAGTGCCCCTCCAGTCCCTCACAGTGCAGCCCAGTTTGCCCCTGTGCCTCCCAGTATCTCCCAGTTCTACCAGTGCCACTCCCAGTTCGTCCCAGTCTATCCCAATTTGTCCCAGTGCATCCCAGTGCCACTCCCAGTCTGTCCCAGTGCTCCCAGCATCCCCCAGTGTCACTCCCGGTTCATCCCAGTATCCCCCAGTTCATCCCAGTCCTTCCGCGGCCAAACCTCTGCCCCGCCCCCGTCTTTGGCCACGCCCCTTCCATTGCCCCGCCCCCTCCCAGTTTCCCCCTCCCCCATTTCCAGTTCCCGCGGCCGCTCTGGGAAGGTGAGTGGGGCCCCAGTGACTCCCAGTTCATCCCAGTAACCCCCCAGTAACCTCCCAGTAACCCCCCAGTAACCCCCCAGTAACCTCCCAGTAACCCCCCCAGTCCCTCCCAGTAACTCCCAGTAACTCCCAGTGACTCCCCAGTCCCTCCCACTTCATCCCAGCAACCCCCCAGTAATCCCCCAGTGACTCCCAGTTCATCCCAGTCCCTCCCAGTCCATCCCAGTAACCCCCCCAGTTTGCCCAGTTCTCTCCCAGTAGTCCCCAGTTGGTCCCAGTCCCCCGCCGGCTCCCCCCTGTTTGTCCCAGTTCCCCCCAGTTCGTCCCAGTCCCGCCCTGCTCAGGAATCCCAGTGACTCATCCCTCCCAGTCCCTCCCAGTATAAACCAGTTCCCTCCCAGTCTCCTCCCAGTTCCCTCCCAGTCCCTCCCAGTATAAACCAGTCCCTCCCAGTCTCCTCCCAGTCCCACCCTGCTCAGGAATCCCAGTGACTCACCCGTCCCCAGTCCCCCCCCAGTCGCTCCCAGTTTGTCCCAGTTTGTCCCAGTCCCCTCCACGCCCCCAGGGATCAAAGGTCACAGAATGGAGTGGGAACAGCTCCGGGCACTGGTGATACTCGGAGGTACTGGTTTGGACTGGGGGGGACTGGGATGGACTGGGAGGGACTGGGAGGGACTGGGGGGGACTGGGATGGACTGGGAGGGACTGGGAGGGACTGGGGGGGGACTGGGATGGACTGGGAGGGAACTGGGAGGGAACTGGGAGGGAACTGGTTTATATTGGGAGGAACTGGGAGGGAACTGGTTTATATTGGGAGGGACTGGGAGGGACTGGTTTGTACTGGGAGGGACTGGGAGGATTTCAGGGGTTACTGGGAGGAACTGGGCCCAGTCCCAGCCCAAACTGGTTTAACTGGTGTCCCCTCCCCCCCCCCCCCCCCACAGTTCTTTCCCTGGCCAGAGGCGACGCCCCTGGTGAGTGACTGGGAAAAACTGGGACAAACTGGGAGGGACTGGGATGGAAAGCCCAAACTGGTTTCTACTGGTCCATACTGGTTTCTACTGGCCCATACTGGTTTATACTGGTTTATACTGGTCCATGCTGGTCCATACTGGTCCATACTGGTCATACTGGTTTATACTCGTCCGTGCTGGTCCATACTGGCTTATACTGGTTTATACTGGTCCGTGCTGGTCTCTCTGACCCCTCCCTTCCCCCCCAGATGCCTCCAGTCCCTTCCAGTTCGGTGAGTGCGGGAACTGGGAGGGACTGGGAGGGTCCCCAAGGTGTCCCCAAAGTGTCCCCAGGTGTCCCCAAAGTGTCCCCAGGTGTCCCAAGGTGTCCCAGGTACCCCCAGGTGTCCCCAGGTGTCCCCAAAGTGTCCCCAGGTACCCCCAGGTGTCCCCAGGTGTCCCAAGGTGTCCCAGGTACCCCCAGGTGTCCCCAGAGTGTCCCCATCATGTCCCCAGGTGTCCCCAAGGTGTCCCCAAGGTGTCCCCAAGGGCTCCCCAGGTACCCCCAGGTGTCCCCAGGTGTCCCCAGGTGTCCCCCAGGTACCCCCAGGTGTCCCCAGGTGTCCCCAGGTACCCCCAGCTGTCCCAGTGTCCCTGTCCCTGTCCCAGACTGGTGTCACCTGCGTGTCGGTGGCCTCACGGTGGCTGCGGTGCTGAGCGTGCTGGGGGTCGTCGTCCTGCTCAGTGAGTGCCACCCCTGTCACCTTGTCCCCTGTGTCACCTCTGTGTCACCTGTGTGTCACCTCTGTGTCACCTGTGTGTCACCTGTGTCACCTGTGTGTCACCTCTGTGTCCCCTGGGTGTCCCCAGTGTCCCCTCTGTGTCCCCTCAGGTGGGAAGTGCAAGTGCCGGAGCAAGGCCAGGTGAGACCTTTGGGGACATTCAGGGACAATTTGGGGACATCTGGGGACATTTGGGGTCATCAGGGGATTTGGGGACGTTGGGGGATGACATCGGGGACACTTTTTGGGGGATCTGGGGACGTTTTGGGGACCTTGGGGACACTGAGGGGGATTTGGGGTTGGGGGATTTGGGACATTTGGGGGATTTGGGGACACTTGGGGACAGTCTGGGGACACTGAGGTGTTCCCTCCCCTCCCCCACAGGTGCCGCCACCCCCCCCCGGAGCTGTCACCTCTGGCTGGGACAGGTGAGAGTCCCCTCCCCCCTGGGGACACCTTGGGGACACTTTGGAGACACTGCGGGACAGTGCCACCCCCTGAGTCCCCCTCTCTCCGCAGGAGCCTGAGCTGTCCCCAGGTGTCCCCAAATGTCCCCAACAGGTGACACCGGATGGGGGGGAGGGGTGGCGTTGATGTCCCCGAAATGTCCCCAAATTGTCCCCAAAATGTCCCCAAGAAAGGCAATGAATAAAAATGGGTGAAATAAAAACGGATTTTTGTCACCGGGGGAGGGGACACGGGGACGGCGGGACAGCGGTGGCATCAGGAGGGGACACAAGGGCTTGGGGACATCGGGGCCATGGTGGCCTTAGGGACATTGGGACCATGGTGGCCTTGGGGACATCAGGGCCATGGTGGCACTGGGAGGGGACGCTGAGGTGATGGTGGCCTTGGGGACATCGGGGCTATGGTGGCCTTGGGGACGTCGGGGCCATGGTGGCACCAGGAGAGGACACTGAGGCCATGGTGGCCTTGGGGACATCGGGGCCATGGTGGCCTTGGGGACATCGGGGTGATGGTGGCACCAGAAAGTGACACAAGGCCAAGGGTGACATCGTGGTGGCAGTGGCTTTGGGGACGTTAGGTCAGTGGTGGCCTTGGGGACATCGGGGCCATGGTGGCACCGGGAGGGGACATCAGGGTGACAGTGGCTTTGGGGACATTGGGTCAGTGGTGGCTTTGGGGACATTGGGTCAGTGGTGGCTTTGGGGACATCGGGGCCATGGTGGCCTTGGGGACATGGGAGCGATGGTGGCACTGGGAGGTGGCACAAGGCCAAGGGTGACATCAGGGTGGCAGCAACTCTGGGGACATTGGGGCCATGGTGGCTTTGGGGACATCAGGGTGACAGTGGCTTTGGGGACATCGGGGCTATGGTGGCCTTGGGGACATCATTGGGGTGATGGTGGCACCAGGAGGGGACACTGAGGCAATGGTGGCCTTAGGGACGTTGGGTCAGTGGTGGCCTTGGGGACATAGGGGTGATGGTGGCCTTGGGGACATCGGGGCCATGGTGGCACCGGGAGGGGACATCAGGGTGACAGTGGCTTTGGGGACGTTGGGTCAGTGGTGGTCTTGGGAACATCGGGTCAGTGGTGGCACCAGGAGGTGACACAAGCCCTTGGGGACATTGGGTTGCCGGTGGCCTTGGGGACATCGCGCGAGGGTGGCCCCATGTCCCTGCTGGTGTCTGGTCGACGTCCCCACGTCCCTGCAGCTGCACGAGGCCGTGGTGGCACCGCCGTCCTCACGGTGTCCCCACAGTGTCCCCACCTTGTCCCCACGGTGTCCCTTCACGCCCCCATCTCCACAACATCGGGGTGGCCACCATGCCCACATCCCACCAGATGTTACCACACGTCCCTCCAGATGCCACCACATGTTCCCCTGATGTCCCCTGATGTCCCCATCTCCACGGTGGACTGGTGGCCACCATCCTCGGCTGCCACCACGCGTCCCCTGATGTCCCCGCGCCCTCAGGAACGCGATGGCAGCTCTGGGCATCCCCTCGGCGGCAGGCGGCCACCGGGCGCGCCTGGCCGTCCCCTCAGGTGCCGACGTCCTCAGTGACGTGGGCGTAGATCTGGGTGGCCCCCTTGAAGCTGGAGGCCACCAGGAAGTGGCGGTGGCCGACGGCGACGGGGATGAAGGCGCGGGGGGTGGGCACGGGCAGGTCCTGGGCGGGCTCCAGGCGGCCGCCGGCGCCCAGGCGGAAGACACGGCTCGGGGCAAAGTCGTTGCCCAGCAGGACGTAGCGGTGGCCGGCCAGGAGCAGCGGCTGGAAGACCAGAGAGCCGCGGGCCGGCACCTGCTGCACCTCGTGGAACATGGAGCCCTCCCAGCGCATCACCTGGAGATTGTGTGGGGTGGGGGGTCAGCAGTGGGACCATGGGATGGGTTGGGTTGGTTGGGTTGGGTTGGGTTGGGTGGGTTGGGTTTGGTTTGGTTGGGTTGGGTTGGGTGGGGTTGGGTTGGGGGGGGTTGGGGGGGTTTGGGTTGGGTTGGGTTGGGTTTGGTTGGTTTGGGTTGGGGTGGGTGGGTTGGGGTGGGTTGGGGTTGGGTTGGTTGGGTTGGTTGGGTTGGTTGGGCTGGGTTGGTTGGGTTGGATGGTTGGGTTGGGTTGGTTGGGTTGGGTTGGTTGGGTTGGTTGGGATGGAGATGGCACCATTTGGTGGGTGGTGGCACCATGGGATGGGTGGTGGCACCGTGGGGTGGGTGGTGGCACCATTTGGTGGGTGGTGGCACCGTGGGGTGGGTGGTGGCACCATGGGGTGGGTGGTGGGACGTGGGATGGGTGGTGGCACCGTGGGATGGGTGGTGGCACCATGGGGTGGGTGGTGGGACCGTGGGATGGGTGGTGGGACTGTGGGATGGGGCCCTCCCTGCACTTCACCTGCACTTGGGGTCAGGGGTCAGAGGTGGGGCCTCATGGCCCTGATGGGCCCCCATGGCCATGGGGTGGCCATCATCACCCTGGTGGACCCACCTTTGACAACTCATGGCCCTGATGCCCCCCCATGACATGGCCTTGATGGAACCCCATGGACCCATGACCCTGGTGACCCCCCATGACCCCATGACCTTGGGAACCTTCCATGACCACATGGTCTTGATGGAACCTTCCATGACCCTGGTGACCCTCCATGACCCCATGGCCTTGATGGACCTTCATGACCACACAACCTTGATGAAACCCAATGGACCCATGACCCTGCTGACCCCCTCATGACCACATGACCTTGATGGAACCCCATAACCCCATGACCCTAATGGACCCCCATAACCCCTGAGCTTGATGGACCCCCATAACCACATGACCCTGCTGGACCCCCATAACCCCATGGCCTTGATGGACCCCCATAACCCCATGGCCTTGATGGACCCCCATAACCCCATGGCCTTGATGGACCCCCATAACCCCATGGCCTTGATGGACCCCCATAACCCCATGGCCTTGATGGACCCCCATAACCCCATGACCCTGCTGCACACCCAATCCCTTCTGACCCCCCATGACCTTGCTGGACCCCCACCCACCCCCCCACCCACCATGACCCCACCACCCCCCAAGCCCACCGCCATCACCTTGGCGTCGCCCAGGAACCTGGTGAGACACAGGAAGACGCTGCCCCGCAGGCGGAAGTGCTTGGCGGCGTAGGCGTCGGGCACGTGGGGGATGTCGGTGTGCGGCGCGAAGGCGTCGCCGCTCCAGCGATAGACGAGCGGGCGGCGCGCGGCGCCACAGAGCACCAGCGCCGGCCGCCCGCCCAGCTCCAGGAACTCCAGGTGGGTGTCGCGCTACCACGGCCGCAGCGCCTGGTGCGGGAAGAAGCCGCCCGAGGCCCAGCGGAACACGGTGCTGGCGCCGCACTTGGAGCTGTCGGCCAACCCCAGGTAGAGGTGCCCGGCCAGGCGCGCGGCGGCCACGGCGTGGGGCCGGCGCAGGCGGCCGGTGCCCAGGGCCTGGTGGCGCACAAAGGCCGAGCCGGGGCCGCCTGAGCGCCGCCACACCCAGGAGCTGCCGCCCAGCTGGGCCACCACCAGCAGCAGGGTGTCACCCAGCGGGACGGGGTGGCAGGCCACCGGTGAGGAGCCTGGGGGGACGGAGGGGACGTTGGCGGGGACATGGGGGCAGCAGGGACACCGGGGACACTGGGGACACCGGGACAGCAGGGACCTTGGGGACACTGGGGACATCAGGGACCTTGGGGACATCAGGGACCTTGGGGACACCGGGGACAGCAGGGACCTTGGGGACACTGGGACCTTGGGGACACCGGGGACAGCAGGGACCTTGGGGACCTTGGGGACACTGGGGACCTTGGGGACATCGGAGATATTGGGGACCTTTGGGACCTTGGTGGTTATTGGAGGCCTCGGGGACATCTGGGGACATTTGGGGACATCTGGGGACATTTGGGGACCTTTGAGCACCTTGAGGACCGTGGGGACATCAGGGCAATTCCTTTGTTCTCCCCCAAGGTCATTTTGGGGACCCTCAGCCCATTTTTGGCGTCCCCGAGGCCATTTCTGGGGGGTCACCCCAACTCTTGGTGTCCTCGGGTCCCCCTTGATGTTCCTCACCAAACTTTAACCATTCCCACCCCATTTTTAACCATTCCCACCCCATTTTTCACCATTTTCACCCCATTTTCACCATTTCCCCCCATTTTAACCATTCCCACACCAATTTCCCAATTTTCCCCATTCCCACCCCAATTTTCCCTATTTCCCCCCAATTTTCCCCATTTCCCCCCCATTTTCCCCATTTTTACACCATTTTCTCAATTCCCACCCTGTTTTCCCCATTTTTCCCATTTTTTCACAATTTTCTCAATTTTTCTTCCATTTTCCCCATTCCCACCCCATTTTCCCCATTCCCACCCCATTTTCCCCATTCCCACCCTGTTGTCCCCATTTTTCCCATTTTTTTCGCAATTTTCTCCATTTTTTCCATTTTCCCCATTCCTCTCCATTTCTCCCCCCTTTCCCCCATTTTCTTTTATTTTCACCATTTTTCTCCCGTTTTCCCCTCCATTTTACTCCATTTCCCCCCACTCCCCCTGTTTTTTCCCATTTCCCCCCATTTTTTCACTATTTTCCCCCTTTTTCCCCATTTTACCCTGTTTCTCTCACTGTTGGTGATGGTGGGGGAACAGAACCTCCCCCCTATTTTTTTTCATCATTTTCCCCCCCATTTTTCCTCATTTTTGCCCCTTTCCCCCTCTTTTTCTTGTTTTTTTTTTTTCACTGTTCTATCCCCTTTTCCCCATTTCCCTCTATTTTACCCCATTTTCCACCATTTTAACCCCATTTCCCCCATCAATTCCCATTTTTTCACCATTTCCTCCTTCTTTTTCAACATTTTCTCCCTGTTTTTCTCTATTTCCCTCAATTTTCCCCAATTTTCCCCCCATTTCCTCCATTTTCTCATAGTTCTTTCAATTTTTTCACCATTTTCCCATTTCCACCCTTTTTTACCATTTTTGCAGCTTTTTCCATTCCCCCATTTTTCCCCATTTTTCCCCATTTTCCCCCCATTTCCCCCCATTTTTTCCCCATTTCCCCCCATTTCCCCCATTTTCTCATAGTTCTTTCAGTTTTTTCACCATTTTCCCATTTCCCCTTATTTTTACCCATTTTTTCAGAGTTTTTTCCATTCCCCCCATTCCCCCCCATTTTCCCCCACTTTCCCCAATTTCTCCCCCA